GCTCAGTGGGAAATTTCATTCGTTAATCTTGAAGGAGAGGATCTGATTGTTGACTCACGTTTCCAGAGACGTGAGGAATCCTTGACTCCAATCTGTGTGTTGGTTTTCCGGTGTATGTCTGACTCGGCGGAGGGCGGAACAGGGTTTACCCAGAACTCGGACGGTGTAGGTGAACGGAGACGCTGATTGCCACTCAGATTTCCTGCTGTACTTGAACGGGTCTTGGTGGAGATGATTCCCTTGCTCAGAGATTAATTTCAACGTCCTGAAAAATAGACTGGATCCAAACCTCCTGTTTGAATCCCTGTCTCAGTTTAAGGCTCAGTTGATCCCTTCAGGGAGAGAAGGTCCGAAAAGGTCCGGATTGCAGGATGACTTCCTGCCGAGAGGCAAACACAAAAACAAAGTTTAAACTCAGGGAGACAAGAACTCAGTCTTACTCAGAGAAAACTCAGCTTGGCCAGAGTACCAAAAACTGGCAAACACTCTGGCGTCGAGGTAGTGGCAGTCAGCAGCTTAAGAGCACTTCGTTAACGAGGTAACCGTCAGCAGGTGAGTGAGGAGGCGGACCGGAACCAGGCGCCTCCTGCTGGTGGAATGGAGACAAACACAAAAACAAACACAGACAGGAGTCCTGACATTTGAAGGTTACTAGTAGAACCAGTCGATGCTGCATTTTGCCCGCCTGTAACTTTTGGTGGATCTATTAATGATTTGATGTTTGTTTCACGTGAACTGAAAAAAAAATTTATGTTTAGAAAAGATTTACAGAAAAGATCAGAATAACCAACAGTATTGCAAAACACAAGTTGAGTTAATCGTTCTCATTAAGTTTGTAGAGTGCTTCATTAAAGGACCTTAATATTATAATATTTCCTTTTCTTTACTGGAGCTTCTAAATATATTGATCTGAATTTCCACCTCATACACCAACACCTGGGTTAAACTGCACCTTTTTCTTGGTTGCCATTGACGACAGTTAAATAACACTGATCATCTGGCTCATTTAAATACAGAATGACATTCATGCGTTGCTTTGCATGGACATTTTAATCTTAATATGGGCATGTGGAAGGCAGAGCATGAGGAGAAGATAACGCTGTGATCTTTCAAGGAAAATTGCTTGGTTTCATGTGTGCACACAGTTTTTCACGAACACTTATAGTAAATGTGTTTGTGAAAAAAGTAATTTAAACGTGTTAAAAATGTGTAGAGTCCTTGTTGATGATTTGTCTAGTTTTTGTCGAATTGTAGAGTAGTTGTTAAGGATTAACAGACTTCCTTTTGAGGATTTTTAGAGTCCTGGCTTTGTCCTTGTTAAGGGTTGATGAAATGCTTATTAGGGATAAAATCTAGTTAGATCTCTCTAATCTCTATGATTATCCTGCTATAGGCTTGGGCTGCTTGAAGACATAGGGGCCACTTTTCCTTCCTCTGCTTCACTCTGTCTCTACGGAAGAGGATTAGGGCCACTGGGAAAAAAAAGTTAACTGATTTTTACATTTTATTTCAGTTTAATATGGGGGAAAAAAAAATCCGAATTTTGACTTTTTTTCTTAGAATTTTGGATCTTAATGTAGATGGGCACCATGAAGGAAGAGATGTGGAGCTCTCAGCTTCACTGACAAAGATGTGAGATGTTTGAGGTGGCCAGAGACACATTGGTGGAAAATGATGGAATTAGGCAACTTTTTACGTGCCCTAATTAATGGAGGAACAGAAGGTGATTAAAACCAGAGAGCT